TGTTTTAGTTTTTTAGCTGTACTGTCTTAGCCAGCATTTGTTGTGGTTTCGCCAATAGGGCTTAAGACGTTTAAATGTCAGGATATTAACCATCATGGATATAAAGTATGAATGTGCTTATAAAGTTTATTCCAGAAAAGTATTTGTTAGACTTTCGCCTACGAGAATGTACATTTTTCATTAGAAATAATGAGAGACGTTCTTTCAGACAGAAATAGAGTTTTGACTCAACAACAGTTAATCAGCACACATCTTGATTTAATATTGATCCACCCCTTGCATATATACTTTCTTTTCTGTGTATTTGTATGGCATTTTAAAAGGTAAGTGCCACTTTTTCATGTACTTCCAAGCTACTTCCATCAAGTAATGAAATACTTGGCTTGGGCGGTCTCTGGAGTCCCAGAATTTCAGCTTAAACTTTCCATTCGTCCCTGCCAGGCACTGACTCTGAAATATCTTTTTTTATGGAGACTGCCTCCAAAAGGTGCAGCTGTGTGCTGGTTTCATCTTGCACTTTGCAGCGGCGTTGGCACCATTTAACGTGAGGAATGCCACTGTCTCCCACACACCGCTCGTGCCCAAGGACTGTTCAGGCCTGTCTGGGTTAGTGGTTTGGGAAGGATCTGAGTTTGGAGAGGAGACTCCCTTCTGTTCCATGTGAATGGCTGTCACCAGGGTTAAGGTAGAAAAATAGACCTAATGGAAAATGCAGCATCTGATGTATCACCAAAAATTCTTTCTGTAATCAGGGACACCTAATTCATTGGTATCTGTATCGGTGTTGAGGACTGATTCCTCTTCTGAAATAATATATGTCTTGCTTCACCACTTCTAGGCTCATTTGCTGTTCCTTCTTGTCTTCTTTTCTCCTTAAGTAATACTGATTTCTTTTGATGAAAAATAATTCCACTAAGTCAAAAACTTGTGTTGGACCAAAAAATGATAGGGGAATCTGAATTCACCCAGATTCTTAAGAGTAGATTTGGCTCAGACTTAACACATGGGCTCCAGCAATTTTCAGAGCCAAAAAGCATTCCTAATTCAGTTATAAAAATTTGTCTGAAAGATGAAACCTAATAAAAATGTATATATAAACTTCATGAGGACCATGCTGTGTCATTTTGTGTTTTGTTTGATAGTCACCGTATATGATCTATATATTCCATTTTTTTTTCTTTTTTACTTCCTTTATGTTTTAGTTTGTTGTATATAATGTGGTGCTTTATTGTGGACCTTTCAAAGAACAACTTGCCAAATTTGACAATGCCTACCAATTGTAGTTTCCTGTTAGAATTTCTTAAAATGGAATGTAATGGAAAAGGAAATAGTGACCTTGTGTACTTAATAATATTAGAGGAATCGTTGATTTTAGGATTGTTGAAATAATTAGTATTTTGCCTTAGAATACGTTTTAGATTTGTGATATTGATTGATCCCCTTACCCATAGGAGAAAATGTGCACTTTAAAGGCTTCTTGGGTAGGGCTACACGTTCCCTATGTTTAAATATTTTTAAGGGGAAATGGATTGAATCACAGATATTGTAAGAGAATAGGAAATCCTTGAATTGTTAGTTAAAAGTAAGACCTCTCTTTATAAAATTTATCTTTTAAAACTCCCATTGCAAAGCCTTAATCAGCTGAATCAGTGATTCATACATTTGAGTAATACAGCTTTTATCAATATTAAAAATTCAGTGGGAAATTCACTAGCCTCCATCATAAGAAGAGTACCTATACTCCCTATAGAACATCTAGCTTTGTTTTCGTTTTTTTTTTTGTATTGTGATGTGCTCTTTGAGAAAAGCTCCCAGATTGTTGTAGGTACCCGATGGCTGTCACAGTGCTTTTCAAAAACTTGAAGTAACAGGTTATGAGTGAAACATATGGTATTTTGTAGCTCAGGATACTGAAGGCAAACTACCTTTTCTTTCTTGCTTTCTTGCTTTCTTTTTTCTTTCTTTTCTTTTCTTTTCTTTTTTTCTTTTTCTTTTTTTTTTTTTTTTTGCCAAAGAAACCTTGAAAGAACTAAAGAAAGAAGGTTTTTCCTTTCTTTCCTTTTTTCTTCTTCTTCAAGCCAGAGTGAACAAATAGAGAGATGGAAACCCTTTTATATGTAGTATTTGCCAACCCAGGAATCTAACAACTGCTGGTGCATATTTGAATCGCAATTAGGTGAAATCTTTAATTATCAGCTAATTTAACTTTCAAATTTGCCTGCAGAAATGATTGTGTTGATAAGATTCTGGAGGGAGATAAACCTTTATTAAGTAACTCCGTTTTCAGGTGCCAGCTTTAAAGAATTTTTTTTTAAATTAAAAAAGACCTAAGTAATTTATGAGGGCAGGGACAGAGCCGGACGACTATTGCATGGCTATGTGGGATTGTGTATTTACTAATTAATCTTTAGCTTTTTGCATCTTGGCTGTGTGCTACTTAGTGAGAGCTAGAAGTTTGAGAAGGCTAAGGAGAGACGCTACAGTGAATTCTTGCTGATGGTTCTCTCCACCATTTCTAACCTTAGGTTTTTCTCTGTTGCATATGCTGATGGGATGATATATATCACTTGGTTTAGCATAGGAGGCATTTATGGGGGCGGCGTTTTTGCGAGCTGATGTTTTTCTGAGGCAAAAGGAAGTAGTTTATAGTTTATCAAAGAAGATGAAATGGTATGCTTTTTCATTTTACAGCATATCCTTTTTTATTTTACAGTGCTTTTGATGAAAAAGACCACATGACCCTTTCAAGACATTTGTATTCTCAGTGCGTCTCAGATACACTGAGATTTTAACATTTAGAGATTTGGGGGATGTCATTGCTGGGTTTTTTTTTTTTAAGGAATTGCCCACATGAATTTGCTTATCATAGTAGCATGTCCTAAAACTTAGTAGTAATCCAAACTAGATTAGTAGCTCCATTCCTGGATTTTCTGATTCTGGGGGTTTATGGTCGTACCTGGGAATCTGTCTTCTTAGCAGGTTCTCCACGTGATGGAGAGGCTCAGGTAGGGAACACAGGAGAGATGAAGTTCCCACTCAGCTCTGTGCCTAGTAACTAACTTCCTAGAGGGTCAGTGGCATGTCTCTCCTGCCTTTGTGAAGTCCATAACATGTTTAAGCGACGTTGCAGTAAGATAGAGTCACCTAAGAAGTTGTGATAGACTTTTCGTGCCCTGAGTACAGATGTCACTTAGCCCTATGCCCGGAAGCTCTGTCCCCAGGGATGGCTTTATGGTGGTGTCTTAGTAGCACAAAGCCAATTTAAGAGTCTTTTATTTGCTCTTGACATATATGCCCTAGGCTCAGGACATATAGGGCCATGTTCTCTAATAGGGTGGCCACTAGCCCATAGAGCTATTTCAGTTTAAATCAATTAAATTTTTGTTTGTTTGTTTCTTCAGCTACAGTGGCTCCATTTTAAGTGCTCACTAGCCACATGTGACTGCTTGGCTAGTCACTGCTTTTTTGGGTAGCACAGCTAATAGAACATTTCCATCTTTTACAGAAAGTTCTACTGGACAGTGCTGCTGTGGGATTTTCTTCCATTGTTTAGCTCTTCTCCTTTTATCCTGGGTACTTAAATGGCCAGTAGAGTTTAGTGGAAAGATTACATGTGTCTGTCACAGGGCATATGGCAGTCTAAAAGGCTCCTGCACTGCTGGGTTTAGGGTATGTAACATGACATAAATCATACTTCCCTCTCTGAGTTCAGCATTGAATATAATTTTTACCTGACTTACATGTTGTGAATTTCTTGTTCTAAGATTATTCTTAGCATTAGAAAGATGGGCTTCATTAGAAATTTGCTTAACATAATAAATGGCTTATAATAATCATACCACTAAAATCTCACTGAAACAAAATTATAAATATTTAATCTTTCTTAAGGGTTTTAAACGATTTATTCCTAGATAAGAGGGCACAGTGATGCACTGTGTCTAAAAAGTTACATGTTGCAGGCTAATAGAAAGGTTGCACCTTTAGGTATTTTTACATAGACTATCATTTACGTGTATTTTGCAGTTTGAGAAAAATAAGGTGAATATGTTTAGCTCCCTCTTCTGGTATATTATGAGATGGATATTTTTACTTAAAATGATTTTGTGTAGCTTTGGAGTGAGAATACAGTTATTAATGTAATGTTGAAGGCCATTATTTGTGTGTTAATCCAGTTAGTTTCTTCTTGTGTCACTACGATTTGTAAAATACGTAAATAAAGCGTGGAAAAACCGTTTGTGACAGCATCACATTTTTTAAGACGCTAACTGACCAAAATATAGCAAACCAAGGCTTTGGTAGCGGGTGCACACACAGGGGCTTAATTGGAATGTCATGTGGCCAGTGATCATCTGCAAGTGCCCTGTGTCTAAATATTTTAAAGTTCTAAATTATGGTAATGAACTGTTGAGTCAAATCCGGTCCATCCTTCTGCCTGGACAGTTACTGCTTCATCGTGACCCGGCGGCCAGTTCTTGGGTTTCAAGTTCTGCCTCGGAGCGTGGTGATCTGGGGAGAGCTGACCACTCTCCCAGCCTGTTTTGCCGTGCACGGAGGGGGCTCTGGGACATTCAAATTCCATCCTACCCTGAGTCACACCCACCCAGCCCCCAGCCCCAGCCCATGTACCTCAGGCACAGCAGCACACCCTGGCAGAGAGGTCTGCCCTGGGGAGGAGGGGCCTGGGGAAGAGGCCTGGAGAGGCTAATTGGGCAGGACCTTCCCAGATTCTAGCTAAGTATTCCAGAGTGTGTCCCAGGAGAGAAGTAGGCCTGCCCTCTGGGCCCCCAAAACTCCAGGAAGAGACCGCTGGAAGAGGCCCAGAGAGAGGAGCCCTCTGAGGTGCAGGGCTCAGCACAGGGCGCCATCTTGCTCAGGCCTGAGTTTGCTGGTGTCAGGTGGAACTAAACTGTTCTGTGTTTAAGTGTTCTACATTGTCCTCTAAGGCATCTGATTACCCCCAACTAAACATAATGTAATTGTCGGATTCTGTTCATTTGCAGCTTTGGCTCTGCCGGATCTTGCTGAGCAGTTTGCCCCTCCTGACATTGCTCCACCCTTTCTTGTGAAGCTCGTGGAAGCCATTGAAAAGAAAGGTAATTGGCTGGTAGAGGGAATCCGTTAGTTTGTTTTGTCCTTATTTCGTGGGTATCGCAATTTATATTTGTCAGTTGGGCACTCGCTAAATAAGCTTCTCGCCACTTGTCCTAGACACATAAGCTCTTTGTTGCCGTGTCCTGGGGAAACAGCCTTGGTCTGATTCCTGACTCCATATTAACATGTAGTTACTGTATGGAAACTATTAAATTCTCCGTAATTTAATAAATATAATTAACTTGCTCCTTAGTGGCCAGACGACTTCGCCAAAAGTATTGACATGCCAGCTACGATTAATAGTAGGAGTTAACTTCCAAGAATATTTGGTACACACATCTAGAATAGATAGGGGCTGGAAACTGGAATGTCGTTCTGGCAGCGGGCCCACAGGTTCTCCAGAGAGCAGTGTTTTGCATGCTCAGTCTGTTTTGTGTCTTAGGTCTGGAATGTTCAACTTTATACAGAACACAGAGCTCCAGCAACCTGGCAGAATTACGACAGCTTCTTGATTGTGGTGAGTGTCATGGAGCTAGAAAGACAAATGGGAGACACGGTTTCTTACCTTTCAGTTTCAGGTAAAGCGCACAACTCTTGAACTTGATCATACAGCTTTCTGAGTTTGAAGGAAGCTCAGAAATCACACACAGTTCCCTCTGCCCTATTATGGTAACAACACAAACCAGCGCTGACCTTTGATGTTTGTCTCCTGAGTTGGGGTGTGTGTGCCTGCTGTAGGCATGTTGGCTCTCCTCACAGCCAAGAGCCTCTGGGTCGTGCAGGAGTTGCAGAAGAGAGGAACACCCTCTTGGGATTTCTCTGGCTCTGTGTATCGACCATCTTTCTCCGACTGTGCAGTTGGCTACATCTGATTCATCTGGATCAGCTTAAAAAATATTTATAAGGCTATGTCATTTAACAAATGTCTCTTCTGACCTTTTCCATTTTCCTCCCCCCCCCCTTTTTTTGGCCCTCCTTCCTTCCTTCCAAATGCTTATTTGCTTTTTCATGCCATGTTTATATTAAGTAACATCATGATAGTGTTATATTCAGTGGTATGCTGGTAAACCCAATGCTCAGGCAGGTAGGGGAACCCTGGTTTGTAGTAGTTGCCCATTTCTGTGGTGTAAATATGCCCACTGCGGTCAGTTTCAGGCTGCCAACATGTTATCACTAAACTCCAACTTGGAAAGAATTGAGCACAGTTGGCGATGCGCAAGCCAGCTCCCACACACCATTGGTTAAAGGACATCAATTAATTCAACCAAGTGGTGGCTTTACTCTTTGTTCCCCCTCTTCTTTGCCAAACAGAATAAAACTATAAATGTGAATAAATTCACTTGGCGATCATCCTGGCAAGTCATCTTCTCTGTCATTTGTAGAATCTCTCCAATCCTTCATCCCCTCTCCAAATTTTTTTTAGAAAAGTAATTTTCTGCCTCACATTATTTCACTGAATTCGGATTTAGGAAACCAAAGGAAGGAAACCCAGTTGGGGAGGAAGCTCTTTGAGACATACACTTGTGCAAAGCATGTAGTCCATGAAAAACTCTGAAGGTGAGACAGCTTTAAAATGAGGCAGCTCATCAAAGTTTCTAGAAGAGATGTTTCTGGGAAAGAAGGAGATTCTATCTCTGTCAGTAAATAGTTTCACTTGAAATGCACCACCCAGACGTTTGAAGTTTGAAAATAATTTTTTTGAACTTTCATTTTTATTTCGTGCATGGAAACCAGTGTCACGCACATGCAAGGCATGTCCCTTGACAGTTACATCTCCTGCCTCACTCCCCAGACTGGGTCGGTACGAGCTGACCGGCGAAAAGCTCTAGGTGAAAGACGTACCTTTATTTCTTACAGCTTGACCAGAGTGGTAAAGAAACAGTGAATTTTTGTCCTTAGCCAGTTGAAGTTGAGATGCATGTTTTGGTCAGAAAATTGGTCAAACTGAACAACAGTCACAGGAAATGTTTAGACATCAGAGACCGATGCAATGAGAGTTATTTGAGAAATAGTGGTTAAACTTTTCAATGTGATTGAAGACAGATGATGCAGGTTAGGTCAAGAAAACAAATCTTCACCTCCCCTCCTGAGATGGAATACCTAACCAAAATTACGTCAACAGTATGTTTTGACAGGCAGCTTTCCTGCCACACTTGAGACCAGGTCACACAGGTAGAAAACTGGTTTCGTTTGGATTCTGTTTGATAAAAGTGAATTTTGTGAGAAGAGAAAGGGTAAAACATTATCTAAATTTAGGGAGTGGATCTTCCAGAACTTTTTATAGCTTGAGGACTTTTCAGTCCATAAGAATATTGTAATATCTTGGAGGAAGCTCAGAGGTAAGTCACACTAAAGAGAGAGAGAGAAAAGAATTCATGGCTTTTAACCAAACTTTGCGAATTACCAGAATCTGAAAAGGAAGGATGTGAAGGATAACGGCCTGCTTTTATTAGCACCTCCTAAATTATTTTATTTCATCTACATATTACCCTTATGATATTAGTTACTGCTGATGGCAAAGCTCTGACCTGCACCCAAATTGTTCCAACTCAAAAGTCCATACTCTTTTTTTTTTTTTCCTACTGTATTGGCCTACAGCGAATTGTTCCTTTGTTGTTCTCATTTGAATTTTCTCATTGTTTTGGTTTCTCTTAACCGGAAGCAGGTCTTTTCTTTTCTTTTTTTAATATTTTAATTTGTCTTTGAGAGAGAGTATGTGCCCTCAAGCTGGGGAGGGGGAGAGACAGAGAGACGGAGACAGTATCTAAAGCAGGCTCTGTGCCGACAGCAGAGAACAGAGAACGGTGGGGCTGGAACTCAGTTTAATGCTGAATGGACTGAACCACCCAAGCAGGTCCCCCACCCTGAAGCATGCCTTTTCTTTAAAAGTTCTCATCACAGTGGCACCTGGGTGGCTCAGTCCGTTTAAGCATCCGACTTTGGCTCAGGTCACGATCTCACATTTCGTGGGTTCAAGCCCCATGTGGGGCTCTGTGCCACCAGCTCGGAGCCTGGAGCCTGCTTTCTGTGTCTCCCTCTCTCTCTGCCCTTCCCCCACTCACACTCTGTTTCTCTCTCTTCCTCAAAAATAAATATACATTAAAAAATTTTTTTTAATAATAAAAGTTCTCATCACAAGAAAAATCCTGTACCTTTGGTGATGGATGTTAATTAGATTTACTGTGGCTGATGATTTTGTAACATAAACATCAAATCATGTTGTTATAATGACATGTACGGTTGTATGTTAATTATATATCACTTAAAAAAAAAATCAGGCTCCTTTAGCCCCACCACACCTGTCCACTACTCACTAGATGCCAGTAGCATCGTTCCCAAGTTGTAACGATCAAAAATGTCTCCAGACGTTGCGAGATGTCTCTTGGGAATTGGGTTCGGGCAACAATTGAAAACCTCCCTGAGAACTGCTCCCTTAGGTAGAGATGAGCTGGGAAGAGGACTCCATTCCAGTGGGAGGAAGGCTGAGATGCCAGAGAGCCTACCAGTTACCTTCCTGAGCAGACTCAGTGAAAAATGGGGCAGAAGAGGGATACCAACCCCTCCATCCCAGACCCATAGATTGTGTAGTTCTCGCCTCGCTAACCACAAAAGTCATCACATGACAGATGCCTGTGGCTCTTGGAAGAGCTTGTTAGGAGAGTTGTAATGCAGAAAAGGAGACTTAACGGAGCAATAGTCAGAAGCTCTAAGGAGCCTTAGAAGCTACATTAAAAACCATAAAACCTATGTCATCAACTCTAGTGGATTTGACATAAGGTGAGCTTATCCAAAAACTATCCCAAGACTTGAAATAAGACGATTTGATTCAAAGGCTATAAAATCCTCTCTGGAATACACTCCATGTGTTCCAGAAGGTCTTGGGTGAATTAACAGTAGTCTGAGGGTTTTTACAGCCCAGTCCACAAACATTCAGCAAGCCTGTCCTATGTGCTGGGCCCTGAGGGGAGCAGAAAGAGCAGGTAAGAGCCACAGCCCGTGCCCTTGAGGTGCTCTCAGTCTAGAAGAGGAACACTTAGTTACCATACCATCTGGGAAGTGTCATGATAGAGACGTGGCCCTCCCCTGAGAGAGGGACCTGTGGCATATTGAACATCTTCATGTTATATACCACATTGCCAAATGGTATCACATTCTTTAAGATGAGCAAATTAAGTAACTTTAATTTTCTGGGCAAAGAGACATAGTAAATGATGCGTACAGGGTGTGAAGGGTATGGGGTGCAGCAGGTTGTGAAGCGGGCAGCGGCTGTGGAGTGTTCCTAACAGTGAGGCACACACAATTTTGTCAGACAGGCCCCTAGTAGTTGCATTACTTCCAATGTGTGTCCTTAATGCAAAGACCTTTTCCTTGTTAGAGATCATTAAGTCCACAGGTGGTTCTCTAGAGGATACTTAAGTGATAGAACGCTTTGCCTCTCCACTGCCTGAGATTAGTAGTTCTTTCCCTCCAATTCACTTAACCACATTTTCTACGAGGTGGACTTTTCTGAGCTTTATTGGTGTGTGATTCTTTGGTAAGGTCTGCCTAAGTTAGTAGGGCGACTTGGGTTTATGATACCAATGTGTCTGAAGTACTTAGGTAACTTCAGCTTCAACCCAGAGTGATTTATAGTATCGCACTCCCTTCATGGCTTTCCAGGACACCACCTTCTACTCTGCCTGCAACACTTGGACTAAATGGATTCCTTTTCATTCTCTCCGAGGCCACAACCTAATCCAGTCAGTCACCAGGTTATGTTAGTTCTTGATCATGTCTCACACATTTTCAACTGTTAAAATTTGAATTCCCAGAAGTGTTTTCTTCACTTCCAGCAGTGCTCTTTTCAGACTTCTTTTTAACACCACAGTTAGTAAAGCTGTTGAAAAAGGTAGCATTTTGTTCCTCGGCTTACCTTTTGCCCATTGAGTACAGCAGTCTCCGGATGATCTTCCTCGAGGTAGCCCTCACATCACTGGGTGTGCAATCCTTCAGCAGCAACCAGATGCTTCCCCTAAGATCTAGATGCCTGTGGTCTTCCTGCCCCAGCATTGCCTCTTTCTGCCAGCATTGGTGCTTTTCTCTACCCTAAGCACTCGGAGAGTGGTTTGGGTTAGTATTCCCCCATTATTGAATTGCCTGACAATGTCCTCAAAACGTTATAAATATTTTTATGACTCTTCTTGAGATTGTTAAAATTCTGTGTCTTACTGTTTCTTCAGACACTCTTTTGAGGTAAATTTATATTAATTCTGAGATGCAGTATTTAGCGACTCAAAATTTAGGAAATCTAACCGATAGATTAGTTCATGTCTTCCTGTTGAGGTTTTAGAAGGATTTACTACGTGATTAGCCATCCCTAAACAGAACTCTTCTCAGATCAGAAGCACCCTCCAGACAGTATTTGGAAATATATGAGGGGCTACTTTAGTTCACTAGGGCTGCCATGACAGCCTTCCACAGACTGGGTGACTCCATTCGCAAACCTGTCTTCTCACAGTTCTTGAGACTAGAAGTCCCAGATCAAGACAGGTTTGGTTTCCTCTGAGGCCTCTCTCCCTGGTGTACGCATGGCCACCTTCTCACTGTGTACTCACGCTGCATTCCCTCTCTGCGTTCGCTCTTGGCATCTCTGTGTGTCCAAAGTTGCTCTTCTTACAAGGATACCTTGGACACCTGGGTGACTCAGTCAGTTAAGCAACCAACTTTGGCTCAGGTCATGATCTCATGGTTTGAGAGTATGAGCCCCACGTCGGGCTCTGCACTGAAAATGTGGAACCTGTTTGGGATATTCCCTCTCTCTCTCTCTCTCTCTCTCTCTCTCTCTCTCTTTCCCCCTCCCTCCTCCTTCCCTTCCTCCCTCCCTCCCTCTCTCCCCCTCCTCTCTCTCTCCCTCCCTCCCAGGCTCATCCCTAATGGATTAATTTTAATTAAACCACCTCTTTAAAGGCCTTTTCTCAGTGCATGCGGGTGGCTCAGTCGGCTAAGTGTACAACTTCAGGTCAGGTCATGATCTCAGGGTTTGAGTTCGACCCCGGCATCAGGCTCTGCACTGACCATGTGGAGCCTGCTTGGGATTCTCTCCTCCACCTTTTGCCCCTCCCCTGCTTGCTCTCTCTCAAATAAAAATAAACTTAGAAAGGGGAACCTGGGTGGCTCAGTGAGTTAAGTGTCCGACTTGGGCTCAGGTCATGATCTCAAGGTCTGTGGGTTCGACTGGTACAGCCCCTCTGGAAAACAGTGTGGAGGTTCCTCAGGAAACTAACAATAGAACTCCCCTATGACCCAGCAATAGCACTGCTAGGAATTTACCCAAGGGATACAGAAATGCTGAGGCATAGGAGCACATGTACCCCAATGTTCATAGCAGCACTCTCCACAATAGCTAAAACATGGGAAGAGTCTAAGTGTCCATCCATGGACAGATGGATCAAGAAGATGTGGTTTATCTATACCATGGAATACTTCATGGCATTGATAAATAATGAAATCTGGCCATGTGTAGCAACATGGATGGACTTTGAGGGTGTTATGCTGAGCAAAATAAGTCAGGCAGAGAAGGACAAATATCATATGTTTGCACGTATAGGAGGATTAGGAGGAACTTAACGGAGGACCATGGGGGGAAGAAGGGGGGAAATGGTGGGGGAAAGGGAGAGAGGCAAACCAGGAGAGACTCTTGAATGCTGAGAACAAACTGAGGACAAATGGGTGTGGGGGGGAGATGGGCATGGAGGAGGACATTTGTGGGGATGAGCACTGGGTGTTACATGGAAACCAACTTGACAATAAACTATTTATAAAAAAAAAAAAAAAAAGGTCTGTGGGTTCGAGCTCCGCATCGGGCTCTGTGCTGACAGCTCAGAGCCTGGAACCTGCTTCAGATTCTGTGTCTCCTCTCTCTGCTCTTTCCCTGCTCATGCTCTGTCTTTCAAAATAAATAAACGTTAAAAAAATTTTTTTAAATAAATAAAATAAACTTTAAAAAATGACAATAAAGGCCCTATCTCAAAATACACCTCCTGAGATAGTGGGAGTTAGGGCTTCAGCATATGAATTGTGGGGGACACAACTCAGTTCATAATGGGGGCATTGTTTTCCATTGTTGTTACCCCAGAGTCCGAGTATGTGCCCCTGGGATCCTGGGGAGAGGCCATCATGCTAAATGCTTGTAACTTAGGGGACAGACTTCCACAAAGAAAAATTGTTCTATTTGAAATGCCAGGCGCAACCCCTGTGAGGAACCCTGCTGATAACAACTCAAGTCTTTTACATCTGTCCTCATACTGCTTACTTTCATGTGTCACATTTGAGTCACACGTACAGAAAATCGGCCCTGCCAATGTACACAATGTTTGAAATGCTTTTTAAAATGTTTCTGTCCTAGATGCCGCCTCCGTGGACTTGGAAATGGTCGATGTGCACGTTTTAGGAGACGCTTTCAAACGCTATCTTACGGACTTACCGAATCCTGTCATTCCAGTAGCCGTTTACAACGAAATGCTTTATTTAGCCCAAGGTTTGTTTTCTTTTCTGAAAACCTCAGTGACCATACAGTGAGATGCGGATGTGCATGTAAACTGTATGAGATGCTGCCTATAAAGAGAGCTGTTGTAGAAATTATTAGTAGGAATCTGCCCCTCCCTGACACCCTCCCCGTTAGCACAAATTCCCTCCCTTACCAGGGCATGCATTGGGAGAGCCAGATTCTCGTTTGCTTAGGAAGACTGTCCACATGTTGAAATGGCTAATTGTTAACCTCTTATCAGTATTAACAAAGTTCACTACGTCACTGAAGGCCACAGTGTTCCAAGTGCCATCTTGGGATTCAGGGAACCAGGGACTGAGACCGTTGACTAGCGATGTTCATACCGTTTTCCTCGAGTGGCCATTACAAAATGTGTTGAGGGAAGAGGACTCTCAGGCTTAGGAGCCTAATGCTCAGTTCAAGTGCTCTGGGGACAGGAAATTGTGGTTTGTAACCTTCAAAGTTGAACCCTGTGATACTTATCTGATGCTCCTCTGAATTAGCCAATCACACTCAGAGCTGCTCAATAGAGGGCAGAGCTCTGCCAGCACACCCTGATCCTCTTGTGGTTTTTTTACACCAAAAGTTTCTTGCATTTCCATTTGACTTGAGATTTCTCCTTTCTCGCATTGCCTTTTGTACTGAGAAGAACAAATGTCCTGTCCGCCACTCATCATGACTTTGTTGTGCATCTGTAGATGCAGAACAGAAAAATGTTCTAGGTGTTTAGCTACTGATATCTAGAAACAGACTCTTAGTCTTCTTCTTTTCTTGTTTTTTTTTTTTTTTTTTAACTCTATAGAAGTACAAAGCTCTGAAGAATATATCCAGCTGTTGAAGAAGCTCATTAGGGCACCTAACATACCTCATCAGTATTGGCTTACACTTCAGTATTTGCTCAAACATTTCTTCAAGCTCTCTCAAACCTCCAGCAAGAATCTTCTGAACGCAAGAGTACTCTCTGAACTTTTCAGCCCTCTGCTTTTCAGATTCCCGGCAACCAGGTAAGGCAAAAGGAGAGAAGCATGTATTTTGGGGTGATGGGGACAGTCCTGAGGTGATTGATTGATCATTAACCTTATTCTCAAGATAGTTGCTCACAGATGCATGGGCACATTTACACCAAACACATTGGCTTGAATGTGGATGAATGAACATGAGCTTGTTGTTGAGGAAAAAAAAGGTTTCTGATAAAACTTTTTTTTTTCTTGTAGCTCTGAGAATACTGAACACCTCATAAAAGTTGTAGAAATTTTAATCTCAACGGAGTGGAATGAACGACAGCCTGCACCAGGTAATGCCTTTTGGATTTTTAGAGTTCTTTCATGGTTCGTTTTTTAGAGCCTGAAAAATGGTGGCTTTAGATGTTCCGTGACGTAACAGAAGCTGCTTGTAGAATTGAAATCCGTAACACGTTACCTTGGGATTTAAGGACCAAATGGCTGAGTGGTAGTGTGGTTGGTAAATGTTATCTGGATTTCAGTGTCTGTGAACTTCAGATGATCTCCATGTTAGACGAAGGTTGTTGGGCGAGCTCTCCCTTCCCCTCAGCTTTGATGCGTCTAGTTGTTGCATAAATTATGGGGCTCATTTTAGTTGTTGACATTCTTGTTTTTCTTTCTAATACTTATAAAATAGGGGATTTATAATTACTATATAATTTAAAGTATTTTGGAATGTGTGTTTTGGAATCAGGTATGCGGAGAAATGTCTGTCAAAATAAACATTTTCAATAATGCAAGCAGTTTGAAACCAGGGTGTTCACTGCAGCAAGTTAGAGCAGGCCAGACACTTCTTTGAAAGCAGGCTGGCATTCAATTAGCCATTTAACAAAGCAGGAAATGTAGACCATGTTAGTAGTGGATTTGATTTAAACTGATGTATTTTCCTTCTAATGTGGAAAGTCTAAACAACTTTCCTTTGCCATATACTGATTAGAAGTTAGCTAACAGAAGCTGGTCATTTAGTATAATGATTGGGGCCTAGTAGGTAAAGTTTCAGCACCAGTAGAAATGTTGCTTGTATCTTAATTTATGCCTAGAGTTAAAATAAAACATCATGCATTTACTCTTCATTATAGGTAACTCATGTACACTACCAAATTTATCTCTGTATAAACAGGCATGGGGTCCCACTGATCAGTGTTAATTAAGCAATGGGAAGTTAAGTTGTGCTTTTGTAGGTAGGTGTTAAATAGCCAGGCTTGGTTGTTCGCAGTTGGATGGAGCAGATTGAGAGAGGCAGGGTTTAGTCTTAAAACCCACCTGTGTGGATTGATGGATGGCATGGGTAACCACTCATGGAGGCAAGTATTTGGAAGGGCTGCTGTGGGCAGGCTCAAAGTATGGTGTCCAGAGGTAAGAGAGGCAGCAGAAATCGTATTTAGGGCAAGTGTGGTATGTTCCACATGTTCCAAATCACAACAAGCAGGATGTTCGATGGGGATACTCTGAATTGTAGGTGAATGGCACCAGAGAAGTCTGTCAACAGTGGCCTAGGACTTTAGTCGAGGGGTGGCCAAAGGGTTCATCTCATGTCACTACTCAAAGCATTTGTTAATGGATTTGGAAACTCTTTGTGGGTGTTCAGAGGCTGCCTTTTGGCTCAGTATGAAAGAGCCTGTGGTCGGTGTTTAAAGGTACCCTGTGATGAGGGGATGGGGGCAGGTGTGAAACATGGCACTTGAGCCCTTTATTGACCAGCCCCCACCTCAGACTAAACACATGGGTGGGGAAAGGAGAAGACTAGTAACAACGAAACAGGACTCTGGGCCACAGGGCAGAGCTGTGCTCTTCCACTCACTGCTGGCACTCGTATGTGTGGAGGTTTGTCTCAGAGGAGGGACAGCCGAGCCCTGCTTGTAGAAGGGTCCAGAGGTCTTCTCAGTGCCCACCCCTCTGGAGACAGGAAGGTGGGAGAGCGAAGGTCAGACAAGATTTGATAGATACCCACCAATGAATTTATCTGGAATATTTAAGAATATCTACTACATACTAGGGAGAATCACGAGTGGAGTTTTATTAGTCTGACTGGTATAAGCTGGTTAAACGTCCTTATGAGTTTCAACCCAGTTCGACCAAAGAAAACATTCACATCCACCCATTTTCATCATGTGCACTTCCGGACTGCCTGCTATGTCATAGACCCTCGTACAGTCTTCTAAGAAACCGATGCACCAGTTTCCCAGGCGGGTTAGTTCTGTCAGCCATGTTGAATGATAAACAATGCACTGAATGTTTACGAGTTCATCTCAAGATTCATGCAGCCTCTTCAAGAAAATTGAATCCAAGTAATCACTAAATTCTAATTGGAGCTAGTTTTCCCTTTGTGTGTTATGTCCTAGCTATTATAAGGAATGTATAGTCCTTTGGAATGAAATAGATGCTTCATTAGTCCCTCACTTGTGGAAACACCCCACCTGCTTCAGGTAGAACATCGTCCTGAACACCTGGGTATTCAGGATTGACGTTGCTGCCAATGATTGGCAGGGCACTCTTGGATAGAGAAATGATTTCTTAGGCCTGGTGGGAATCCAACATTTTCGTCAAGTTCTTCTTCATTGCCCCAGCATGCGCTATTACCAGAGGGCTCTGGAAACGCAACGCTGATGCATCTCCATTGAATAGTCATAAATCATTTATTTGAACTGACTTTTTTGTTGCGAACACAAATGAGTGCTTGGAGGGGTGCCTGGGTGGCTCAGTTGGTTAAGCGTCCGACATCTGCTTGGGTCGTGATCTCGCGGTTCATGAGTTCAACCCCCGCGTCACGTTCTGTGCTGACAGCTTGGAGCCTGGAGCCTGCTTCGGATTCTGTGCCTCCTTCTCTCTTTCTCTGCCCCTCCCCTGCTCGTGCACTCTCTCTCAAAAATAAAAATAATCATTAAACAAAAAAAGAACTAAGTACTTGAATGGTTTTAGGGGGAGACAGGGAAACAAGGCTGTTGCTATGTAAGGGATGGACATCTTTTGCAGTTTTTACCTGGTAGAACTTGAAGTGATAGGTGAAACTGATGATGATTGAGGCAATGTGTCAATTTGTATAAGACTATTAGCATACGGTAATTAAGTGCTAGGCTCTAGGGTACTTACTCTGAACATAAAAAGAATTTTAGAAATGTGATGGGTGACTTTGTTGGGTAACTGAGTAGATCGAAAAGGCTTGTAGAAGAAATAGGACTTGAAATGTGCTTGGAAGAATTGCTACAATTTGAAAAGGGGAAGAGGAAATAGTATTCCAATTCGACGAGTTTCAGAGGTTTAATCACAGTAAGTTGCAAAGTACAAAAATAATGACTGTTACAGTAGATTTTAAGAAATAGTAAATGTTTTAAATGACGGTGTCGTGGAAAGCATCGTTTTAGAGTCAAAGGCTTTGTCCAACACTTCATTTGCTCAGTTGGAAACTGAAGCGCCCCCAGAGGTTAAGAGCTCTCCCTGCTAATACCCAGCGTGTGCCCGAGCCAGTCCCGGACCCCAGCCTGCTGCTTGCTGCGGCACCTGCTTCCTGGGTTTTGGGAAGCTTCATGAGCATTGGGACTGCTTTTAGTGTCTAGTCCCAAGTCCTCTGAGGTTTCCAGTAAGCAAGAAACTAAAGATAGATGATATTTGCTTCTCTGGGTCCACATATAGTAAAGGAGTCCCAGTGTAGTTTTTATAGGTTTGGGGACTATAGCATAGAATCACTCCACCCATAGTATACTGGTAAGAACAGTGAGTCAAATAGGTCTGCTTTGAATCAGCTCTTGCTCCTCATTTGCCAGTTCATATCAAGTAACTCTGCTTTCCAAATGGTTTTCTAGTCTGTGAAATGGGAATACTGCCTCTCTCCTGGGGTGGTTGTGAGATGTAAATGAGGTGGTAAGTACTGAGGCTCATAACCCTTTAGCCTGTCTCTCCTGTTGCCCAGCTCTGGTTTTTAATGACCTTCCAGGGGTGGCCCTGTTCTGCAGCTCCAGTTCCTCAACCCTGACAGGCCCTTCTCTCCATCAAGCCCACATTCCCAGCCCACAGAGCCAGGCCTCCAGGTGCTTGCCTGGCCTTCACTGCTAATCTGCATAGGACACGCTCCTGGCCCTTTGTTGCTCCATGCCTGCTTTGCTTGAAGGGAGGACGGTACCTTATTCAGTATGATGCCCTTTCCACTGTGTGCAGCTTGGTGAGGAGAGAGGCCTGGATTTCAGGACCAGGTACCCCTGCCACATGCCCTTATGCAGTGCACGAAATGTACAGCTGAACACAGGCGGCCCAAACAGTACCATCCATTTCATCTCACAAGTAGGTCTCTTCCTGCTGGGTGTGCGGTGATCAACCCATTCAATAGGTCTATGCCCTCAACACCTTGTCTTCTTAAACTTCACTATTCTGTGGTACTTCCTGTTGTTTTCATCTGCTCAGTACATTCCTCAAGGGCAAAGGGTGTTTCTCCCGTTGAGCTCCTCCTAGCCTAGAACTAAGCACAGCATAATCAAATTTGTAAAAATGTTTTGCTAAACTTACCAACTTTCAAAGCACTTTTGCACCTCCACTCATTGAATGCATCCAGCAAAACTGTGAAGCAGACAGGCATCTTCCCTATTTGGAGGGAAACTAAGGTTTGAAAGGTTGAACAGAGAGTAAGTTCTCACAACTTTGATAGTCCACTGTTCCCTTTGTTACTAAAAGTCTAAAAAACACCTAAAGCTGAACAGCAGGTTTTCTTGAATCATTACGTGTTATGTTTACCCTACTAATACTCAGGTAGCTAACGCAGATTTCTATAGGGCAGCCTAGGTAAAAATGGGACCATTTACCACAGGGTGTCTTTGAATGAAATCCATTATAAGTGTATTTACATATTTCAAATTTCACGGATATATTCAGAAATATTAATGCGGCATAATTGAAGTCTAATATTGCACCCTCAAACCCAGAGTGGAAAATAAATGACTCTTTCTCCCTCCTGCCCCTTCTACACCTGTCAGAGTTAATGTTTAACCACTGGCGCATTGCAAAACATTCATCCTGAAGAGCCTGATTCATAAATCTTGTTTTAAATGCTCTGGGCTTGGTTTTCAACCAAGACTAAAGCAAGCACTAAGGTAGAGGGAAATGACTTTCAAAGAGTTTTACTTTTCTCTGATTTATTTTTTATTGGGTTTAAAATGTGGTCTGACATTAGAGGGTTGTTTCAAAGGTGAGAAATGAAACCTTGAAAAAACTGCATATATTTAGATGGGTAGGAATAAACAGAGAGGCAAGCCATACTAGGTTTTATCGCAAAATAGGAAGTTTTATTTGTGCTCTGAAAAAGAAA